TGAAATATCACTTCACGATTTGGAGACTTTGATGCAGATAATGAGACTACCGATGTTTGACGACCTGTGAGTATCTGCCAGACTGGGTTCATTACAGGGTAATCGGGGACCATTCGAGCCCGATACTGGTGAAGCCAGAGAGGAACTGCTGACGAAGTCTGATGTTCGGAAATGGGTGGACCGAGGGCAGAGGTTGTTGGGCAGTACGTCGCATGGCAACAGGAGATTGCGGTGCAGATTGTGCAACAAAGAGTTCACCGGAACGCGGCGAAGCACTTTGTCCAATCGTCAGATGCTGCTTGCTGCAGGCACAGCACTGGGGGGGTTGTTGCTGCGGTCCGCAAGTGCCACCCATCACAAGACATATGCCCAAAGATGATGACCAAATTGAATGAGTATTACGGGATGCACGGTCGTCCGCCGGTCGCGGAGGATCCCGTGGATTTGGAGCCCGATCAGCGCACGGGGGAGGAGGGTGGGCATGACACACCTTCATCGGGGGGGAGATTGCAGGCCAGGTCCGGCGTCCGAAGAAGGGAGCGGCATTGCTTTTGCATCGACCTCCGTCAGGATCAGCAGCCCCCACTTGCACGCATGAAGAGATGCCATCAGAGATTGCCGAGCACCTGCGGCGTCCCGTACTGGCTTCCACTAGCCCACCATGACCTCCCTCGGCCGGTGTGGGGCAGCAGTCATCCATGAGCGGTTTTTGTCGTGGATGAGCTGCAGAAAGAATTTGACCAGGCGATCGCCTCATTCTTCTTCGAGAATGCCATTGCATTCAACGCCACAAGATCAGACTCCTATAAGAACATGAAGAGGATCATGAACGAGGCGGCCATCTCGTGGAAGATGTTGAAACTGCCAGGGTGCAACTTTTTAAGGACGAAGGCCCTGCCCGCGGAGTACAAAACTGTGGATGCATTTGCAGAAGATCCATGAGCCATGGGATGTTACAGGCCTCACGTTGATGTGAAGGGGAAGGACAAGTCGGCTCCGGCTTTGGCGAGGCTGTGGGAGGAGGTCATCAGGGAGTTGGGAGTACACAGGGTCAATGCCATATGCACCGAATCGGCACAGGTGAACATATCCGCAAGGAAAATACTAGCTGAGCACGACGACCCGGTGATCAGGAGCATTCCTTGGGTGCCATGTGCATGCCATGTAGGCAGCATCGCTTCAGTGCTATGGATTGGAGAGGTGATTCTGCAGGGCAGGGAGATCACCACCTTCATCAAGAGACATCAGAGGGCTTTGGCGATGTTCAGGAGGGATGGGAGGGAGTACAAGACACGACTGGGCATCAAGACCATTGGAGTTAATCCAACCAGGGGAAATGAGATTTGGCACAAACGTGGAGGCAGTGCTGCTGGCGACTGTATCCCATGCACAGTGGGATGACTCCCTGTGGGACCGGACTGGATCGACACGGGCGCGAGCATGCAAGGATCTCATACGGGACCCAGCTTGGTGGTTGACCGTCGAGTGGGCATGCACTTTTCTTCAGCCTGTTTTTGCCCTGATGAAGGACATGGACAGAGATGGGAGGATGGGGATGCAGGTGTGGTCTTTGGGGATCACGTTGGAGAAGAGGATGGCTGTTTTAACTATGGATTGCGAGACAAGGGAGATCGTGATGAACAAGGTGAAGGAACGTGTGCGGATGATGGCTCTCCCTGTGCATGCAGTAGCATGGACGTTGCATCCACTCCATAGATTGCTTAGACTATTCGACGAATTGAGTCTGAGGAGATCATGAACACTCTGGCACACTTTGCTGCGGTTTACACAAAAAATTTGAAGCAGTACAGAGAGTGCTGGAGGTCTCTGGAGAGTTTCCATCACAAAGATCTGGAGTGGATTCGGCCGAACTCAGAGGAGGCTTTGAGAGGCACTCACGTTTCAGCGGCACAATGGTGGTTGACAAAAGGGAAGAAACACAAGTCGTTGCAGAAGATTGCAGTCGGAGTGCTCAGTATGTGGACAACCGCCTCTCCCTGCGAGAGGAATTGGTCCACCTTCGACCTCATTCACACAAAGAGGAGAAATCTGTTGAGCCCGGAGAACTTGCAGATGCTTGTCTTCATCCATTGGCACAAGAAATTGCCGAAGATGTCGAAGATGAAGATCGGGTTTGTTAACTAGGAGCGACTGGAGTGGCAGACACCGGAGGACATGGCTCCCTATGATGGTTTCATGCAAAACGGGGAGAACGACCGGGAGGAAGTGAAGAGGAGGGCCGCAAACTGGTCCAGATCTCGCGGCCGTAAATCGAAGTCGACGAAATTCGACATTCAGGAGCTTGAGGAGGAGAGGGTGGACGACGGGGCATGGCTCCTTGATCTTTCTTACCGCCCTCGCTGTCTTGCAGATCATGACCGTGGGAAGACCGTTGTTGATGTTGACGATGAAGAGCTTAGCCATGACAAAGAGGATGATGACGAATTGGTTCGAGTGGAACTCACTGACAGGCGGAGGAGGTCGGGAGGTGGTTCATCTTCTTCCTCCCCGCGCGACCACATCACGACGCCGGAGGTCCTTGTGTTTGGCAGGCGCTTGGCGGGCACTTCAGCCTTGTTGACTGCTGAGGAGGGTATTCGTTAACGACGACGGACTTCCGCACTCGGCGGTGCAGCTTCGCTAAAAGGGACTGCCTCACTCTCGGGAGCATATCTCACCCGTCATCGGCGACCCAAGCTCGAGGAGATAGGCACTGCTTGTGGGACTACACCCGGGGGGTCAGCACATGTCGCTGATGACAGTGATGGAGTGGAGGCAGATGCCTCTCTTGGTGCAGACAAAGACTGCCCCATTGCTGTTGCTCCGGTTGAGGCAGATATGGTAACCGGTGCACGTGGGGATGATCCGGTCGGTGCCACTGCTGCACTTGATGATGGTTTTATGGTGCAGTTGACGATGGTGCTGTTGGTGCAGACACGGAGACCGGTGATGGTCCCATTGCGAGCGGCGATTTGTTCTTCACTCTGGATCCGGGGTTGCGATTGGGGGAGAGAGGTTCCTCCCTGTTGCAGCACGTGGCCCCTATTGCCCCGTGTGGCTCTGCACGAGACTTTGGTAAGCACCTGGCTTTGATGTCCCCAATGCGGACTTCTGACGAGTCTAACACCCCTGATCGGGCCAAATTCACCAACCCAACCCCCCCCCCCCCCCCCCCCCCCCCCTTCGGTTGAACGAGGACATTCAGCTGGTTGCTGGGGAGGGCACACATGGCCAGGTTTACAGGAGGAGGACCCCGCCAGTTCAGGATGGTGGAACGACCCCACCACAAGACATGGATGCACGGCGTGCAATGGCATCACCGCCCGACATTGACGAGAGCAAGGTGCGCCGCGTGAAGAGTTTGGCGGGCAGAACAAAGGGAGGGAAGAACAAGGAAAAGGACGCAGCGGCACCCAAGACAAGGGGTGGAAGAGGGAAGGGACGCAAGACTGCCACGCCGCCCAAGACCTTGGAAGAAAAGTGTGCTGTTGTTCGACAGGCGAAGAGGAAGAAGGCTCAAAGAGTGCAAAAGAAAGCTGTGGCAGTCGATCAATCGCTGAAATGCGGACGACACAAGAAGAGGAGATGTGTGCAAGAGGACGACCAATCGAGTAGCAGCAGCTCTTCGCCTCCCACCTCTTCGTCCTGATCAGGGTCGACATCATCGTCAACTGACACGAATAGCAGCAGTGAATGAAAGTGTGTTGTTCATGTGAGAGAGACAAAGAGAGAGACAATCTTCTTCTCGTTCTTCTTCTTCCACTTCTTCTTCCACTTCTTTTTCTTCCTCTTGTTCTTTTCTTCTCCTCTTCATCATCTTCGTTTTCTTCTTCTTCTTCCTACTCTTCATTCTCCTTCTTTTCTAGGGTGGTCCAGGTGGGCTCAAATCTTGGCTCAGTTTTTTAAACGTCGGGGACAATCACACTCTATTGAAGTAATGCTTTTCTGCAATTGAATTGAGCACCTCTGCGGACTTGGTGTGTCTTCTTCTTCATCTTCCTGTGTTTCCCCCCCCCCTTCCTCCCTCCACTGGGGGGGGGGCTGTCTCTTATACACATCTAGATGTGTATAAGAGACAGTTATTGTTCTTCTCCTCTTCGTCATCTTCATCTTCCTCTTTGGCTAACTCCTCTTCATTCTCCTACTTTTTGAGGGTGGGTCAGGTGGGCATGAATCTTGGCTCGGTTTTTCAGACGTCAGGTACAATCACACTCTATTGAAGTAATGCTTTTCTGCAATTGAATCGAGCACCTCTGCGGACTTGGTGTGTCTTCTTCTTCATCTTCCTGTGTTTCCCCCCCCCCTTCCTCCCTCCACTGGGGGGGGGGGGAGTCCTTTCCATCTGCAATAATGTCGACACCCCCAAACACCCCTGGACCCAAACACCCTCCCCCCCAAAACACCCTCCCCCCCCAAACACCCTCCCCCCGAACACCACTGCAAAATGCAGCAAAATACTGCAAAACGGTCCCTTCCAGCAACCCCCTCAGAACCCTCAAATATTCCCAGAGGCAACCCCCCCCCTCTCCTCGTACAACCCTGTTCATATTCATGTAGTTAAAATTCAAAAAGAGCATACAAAAAAAACACATCACGTGGAGGACATAATGTGGAATCACCCTTCCGCCTCATCCACTCGGACTAAGCGACGCCAAGGTTATGGATCTGCACCCTATGTGGTTAACCAGGGGTGTTATCTTCGGCGAATTTTGCACCGAAACTGTCACATTGTGCTGATTTTTTGCTTTTTTTCTTGTTTTCCTTTTTGTGTGATACATATGTGCGGGCTGGAAAGACAGACTCAACTTCCACAACCAGCCAGGAGGGTCAAGCCGACTTTCTCAGCAGGTGAGCCCGAAGTATGCCACACAGGGGGTCGTGGGGAATCCAATGGATGACGTGAAAATTGAATGGGCACGAACTTCCTGTGTACCACTTACGTGCTTCACCAACTGAGCTAGGCCGCTTGGCCGAGTAGTTCCATTCGATGGGACGCTTACCATGCTCGATGCTTAGAGTACGAGATGCATGATTTGGATTCCCGGCATAGTCGACAACTGCACTCTCTGGAATCATAAGCGTCATTATGCTCTCATGTTGGATTTCTGCGTCGACGGTGTACACGCCAGATGACTCGTCCTGCCCTCCACCATCATACCTACGAGACCACCAACACAGAGACAGAAGCACATCCAGTCACTTGTGATTACAGGAAAAAGTAGTTAAATCCCCTCCTTTCCCCCCGGCAAGCCTTTTGTGTTTTCTTTGCCCCCAAACAGGGGCTAAATGACTCAGATCAGAAGAACTTGTGAAGAAACATATTTCAGTGAATGAATGGCGGACACATGATGTAACTGTTCATGAACAGATCAGGAGTTCGAATTGTAATGGACTCAGATGAACACAATAGCATTAGGGGCAACCACGCTAAAAAAAAAAGCAGCAGCACATTCTTTTTTTTGAACAACTGGAAGCCTTTTCGCATGTTCCAGGCACTCCGGCCCTGTTCATACCATCCTTTTCATTATGGCAACCGGAAAACGGGTCCGGCATCCCTTACAGCAAAAGCTGCATTTGCAACACGAAGATGAACACCGTATGGGAACACAGCAAAGGAAAGAAAAACTATAAAAGTTCACTATTGCAATCAGACTTGTCTTTCCCGGCACTCAGCATGCGTACAAACAGATGACGATCAAGCTGGCAACTTGCACCCACACAACGTTCGTACACACACCCTGGCTCTCCCTGGATGTCCCGCACAATCATACACACACACTAACACTCACTCAAACACACACACTAACACCTACTGACTCTCTGACATGGTGGCTATGGCCGCCGTCTTCCTCCTCCCTATTAACAAGCTCGGCTATGGCCGACTTCCTCCTCTTAGCCCACTTCTCCTTCGGGCACCTGCAGACCTCCGTACACAAGACGCTTCGACAGCACTTCCGCACGGCTCACAGGCAGAATGAATGGTTTGACGCTGCATCTTTATTTATACTTTGGATTGTCAAAGGTCTGCCCTTGGACTCTGGGCCCGGGGTGTACACAGTCCCACATGGTACTCGCTGACTTGACAAAGTGCGACCGGAACTGGGTACCATTGACTGGGCTGAGTTAGACTGCCCACTTGCCCACTTGCCTACGGACTGCTAGCTAGGACTCACGAAGGGGCAGAGTAGACTGTTCCGGAAGGGCCTAGTCTAGCGTATGTGACCTTTCGGTACTGTGGCAGCTACAACCCCTACCACTGCTAAGAATGTTAATCTATGGACCTACTGTTCAAGACCCGACGACCACCCTACCTACAGCAAACAAACAGGCGACTTTCGAGACATATGTGTCGCCGGTTCAAGCACACACGGGTCAACTGGTACTGTACACGGGTAAGGATGAGGTCTGGGGATCGAGCCCTGGGAACTGCACCTGCTACCGCAAAGGTGAAAACCGTTTCACTATGTTCAACCAAAATACAAGGAACTACCCAAAGCAACACCTGTCAACCACCTGCTACCCAACCTTGCCTTCCACTTCTTGCCCTGCACAAGGTGAGGTCTTTATCACAACAGACCCCGAGAGAACCAGACCCGCAGAAACCTATATACAACAGACAACAGAAATCTCTGGAAAACAAAAGAGGGAGGCTTCTCCCTCTGAAGACGAAGTCTAGCTCTCAGGCTGTTCATCAGAAAATTTTAGGCCTGCGAAGTCTATATACAACAGAGCTCAAAAGCTTCTATAGAACAAAAGACAACAACCACTCAATCTGAAGACAAAGTCTATATGCAACAGTACGGCCTTGCCTACTCTCCATCAGAGGGAAAAAAAAGAAAACTTAAGTTCCGGCCAATCCTGCTCAGACTGTAAAATTGTCACCAGCCCAGAGAAGCTTCCCCAGCAAGCCAAAAACCGTCTGAGTGGTTTAGAAGAATAGCCTTTCCTCTGGACTTTCAACACCCAGTATGTAATAATGACTTCTTTTAGTGTGAACCGCCCTGCACATCTGACTGCCCCATTTCAGAGGTTCCACAATGTCCACAGTATCGCCCCTCTCAAAATCTCCTCCGCCCGGGCCTGAGGTGGGAGCCTCCCGGGCAAAAAGAGTCAATTTAGCTCCTGTCACGAGTATTTTCGGATGACGAGTCACACTGGGACTGACACGCCACCCAGACTCCTCACATTAGGTCCTTTTTTGCGGGACCTTTTTTGAGGGACACCATCCAGACTCCCGGTCTTTTTTTGGAGGGACACCATCCAGACTCCTAGGGGAGGCAGCAGTGGGGAGACTTGGGAAAAGGGTGAGAGCATCAGATCCTACTCACATTAGGTCCTTTTTTGCAGGAATCTAACAGCAATAAGGGACGGCCCTGTCTGTATCTGCCCCCAATCGTGGCTAGAGATGACTCGAAATGGTCCTAGCGTGAGTATGCCCTCAGATCAGAAGTATCTTCACTTATGGCGTCAATGACTCAGATCAGCGGCACATAATTTTACGTTCATCATTTATCAGTAATGCGGTCAATATTAGGCGCTCGCCGACTCGCCGAAGGCCAACATTTTGAATGTATTAGGACTACTTGCTGCTTCAGACGCATTCAGAATGCTGGCATTTGGCCAGGCGAAGCCTTTACGGCGTTATGTACCCGATTGAACTTCAATCCACAACGAATTCACACGTTCCCATACACGCATGCAATTGCAGAGTAGACTCGAAGGAGGCAAATCCACACAAAACCGGAGAGAAGATATGCACAGCCGAAGCTCGAAATACACAGAGAATTGAAACACGAATTTCAATTCTGTAATCCCCCGTCCTCCTCCAATCAATTCAAAGTACTTGTTCCAAGAATCACAACCGCGTTTACAACAACCCCGAACAACCAAAACAAGTGTTCAACGAAGTCTATAGGAGTCTTCTTCTTCCTCCTCGCCACCTCATACCCCTGGCTATGGCTGCCGTAGCAGCAGAACCCCACAGCTGTCACAACGTGCCAATCTGAACTAGCAACCCCAATAACAGCAGCGCCAGCTCAGCGCCTGCACGGAAGTGCAGTGCTGGAAGTCCTGATGAAGAAGGAGACAACCGATCCAGCACTTCGAAGAAGAGAAAAACGAAGATTTCTCATGAGGAGGAACAGCAAATATGGCTGCCAAGTGGAGTAAGGCAGCGCCCAAACCCAACAACACAGTCCTGGTGAAGCTCTTGCGCAGAGCTGCTGATAGCAGCAGTGCTATCCCCAACTTGGTGACCCAGCCTGTTACATCTTCGACGCCACACGGGTCCTACCGGACCCGACTTAGGGCTAGAGGGACACATCAGGGCCTAAAGGCCCGACCTTGGGGTATTACAGGCCATAAAGGCCTCACCTTGGACCAGACCCGACGGGCAGGCCCAAACGACATTACCGTTTGGGCCTGGCGGCGCTCTTGAGGCTGCCGCCCGCCGGTTGGGGCTGAACCGTCCATCTGGACGGTTCAGGGCACAGCCAGGCCTCGCAGCAGTGAGGCCGGCCTCTGCCCACCGGTATAAAGAACCGGTCCGGCCTCACTCAAGGGATCGACCCACCGGTATACTACGGTGCGGTAAGGTCGGCACCAGAGTGCCGTTGGAGCGCTATGTTTAGCGCAGGAGCGAGGAGCAGGCAGCGCAGCGATTAGCGCAGCAGCAGCGAGCGGAGCAGCAGCAGCGGCGACTGGGTTACCGGCGGCCATAGCCGCCTGAGGTACCGGGAGTTGGAGGTTTCTCTCCTCCCTCCCATCGCCAGTCCCCTCTCTCTCCCTCTCCTCCTCGGCTCCCTCCTTCTCCTTCTTCTTCTTCTTCTTCTTCTTCTTCTTCTTCTTCTTCTTCTTCAGATTGGATACTTGTACTAGTTGGACAGAGATCAGAGTTGGACTTCGGTGATATGAGACTGTGGTGCTTACCTGATTGGAGACTTGGAGATTGTTGGGGTTGATACTCGGCTGCATCGCAGTTCGGACACCGGTTACATTTGGACTCTGTACCTCCGACATTGGTGACCTATTGTCCTCGACATTTTGATCTTGTTGGATGACATTTTGGACTACCATATCGGTGACCTATCAGATTCTATCTCGGTGACTTTCAGTGCTGTCTACCTGCCCCACCTCCTTCGTCTCTCCTCCCCCATTCATCTGTGTATGTTGTGTACGGGGCTGAGCACCTTCTTTGTATGGCTCAGACCCCACCATCTCACGATTGTATGTGTGTGGAGTGATGCTATGTGAGTCAGTCTATGTGAGTCAGTTCGTTTATCAGACTTCCGCTGCATACATGCTCATCCTATATTGGTTGATCTTTGGTTCTGCCCATACTCATCGAAGTATGCAACACAGCCCCAGCTATGGCTGGGCTTCGAGGAAGAAGATGCCCTCGCCCAAAATTAACACAGCAAAGCTACGGCAACGATTGGGCAGAGTTTCCCCAGCAGAAACAACGAGAAAAGACCCGACCCAAATTTCCTGCCCTCTACTTCTACCCTCTGCCTAGACCTACGAGGGACTCCCCAAGCAACAACCCAAGACTCACCTGTATCTAGATGGAGACAGGGGAAAAGGGGACCTAGACCTATGACAAAGCAAAAGGAATAGGCCTAATGGCCTAGGACTACCAAACAGAGACTATTAGTAGCTGACTCAGGGATCAAATCCCATACAGCTCAACACTCACAAACAAGACACACAGATCACAGGTCACGGGATCAAGTCCCGCAGGCTCAAAACAGGCAACACAGAAGGCAAAGGTTGCGGGATCAAGTACCGCCAACGACGACAGGGGCGAAATTAGTGTACAGTCCGCTTGTAGCACTGCAATTCATTGCAACGAGATCCATAACGAGGTTGACAAAAATCACAAAACCACATTATTATTTGATCAAGATTGGACATCAGACATGTTCGCATAACCCCATGTGCATAAGACTATCGTGATCGTTGAAGACTGAGGATCTGCAATGAGACAGAATGCTACGCAATGCAATGCAGTGCAACAGAAAGCAAATCGATAAGAAAAGACCATGCGTGCACATCCAAATCTGTCTTGTGCGTCGTCGGGTGTGCGATGCAGCCCTGCGCCTTGACGAGCACGACCGGCAAACAGGGCTTATGTCCAGCTGCTGTGAAGACCAGAAACTGCCTCCCGTTTCCTGAGCCCCAGAGTCTCAGCACTCCATCGGTCCCTAAACCTTTGAGGCTCGACCCGATGCACCTTTAAACCCTTAAGCCCTTGCTTTGTAGACTGCTAGTTCGCAGTATCCCTTCGCAGGGCTGCCTTCATGGTCTGAGGGCCCTGCTCCCTTGGACATAGTTCGAGCTGCGGGGCATGCAGCACACAGGAGTGAGATGTCAGCTGTCGCTCCAGTGTTGGTGCAATTGCCGTTTTTGTTGTCTGCCACTCCGACCTTTGTTTGTCCCGTGTGTCATCCGTTGTGGCCAATGCAAGCCACATGCTAGCAGGTTAAACAGTTGGGAGAGCATGGGCAGGGAGGGGTGGCGGCGGGGCAGTGGGAAGGGGGGGGCCATGGGCAAGTAGGGGTGGCGGCGGTGGCGGGGCAGCCGGTGGTGGGGGGTGCTATGACGCTCAACCTCACGCCCTGTGCTGTCTTCCGTTCGGAGTGTTTAAGATTGCGGAAGGGGCCCCGGAAAGGCAGCAAGATGGGGTGTGCCAAGGATTTTTGGAAAATTGAGTGCGGGGACACGGACAGAACTGAAATCCCCTGTGCCGGTCCGACTTAGTAAGAAGGGGGAGAACGGGGAGGGTCCGTCATCGTGCGGGCGCGGGAAAATTCAATCCAAAAAGTATCGCTGAACTTCCCATCGAGCCGTTGCTTTTCGTTTCGCGTGAAAGGGAGCGGGCACGTACTTGGTATCCCGTTTCCGGATCAAGTCCCGACATCGCCCATTACACAACTCTGAGTTTGACGTGGAAGGTCTTAACCGAGTGGCTCTTTCCTTATGCTCGTCTTCGCCTCGTACTCGGTAGTGAAAGCCCTTCGATTGGTAACACTCGATGCGGCGACAATCGCTGCACAGAGTGCTAGGCCAATGGGGCGCCACTGCCGACCACGGGATGACAATTAACTCATTGAACGGCAATAGCAACGAATAAGGCGGAAAGTGTGTTTCCACAATAACAAAACGAGCACCGACAAACCCAGAGCATCGAGTTTCAGGAGGGAAGTAGTATCTCCCGCCGATCTTGGCGACGGCTTCTCATACGTCCCACTCGCATACACGTGTCCTCTCCTCGTTGTACAGGAAGGGGCATGGCGGGGATGCGGGAGGCCGGCGCCCAGTCGGCTTGGGACAATCGGTCCACATGGCAATAGCGAGATCCTTATCTAGCATGCATCCCACATGTCAATCACATCGATACGACGGTCTAGTCGAAGACAAGTCCACCAGGCAATCGTCTCATCATCCAAGCATTCCCATTCATCCTCATAGACATTCATCAAAGAGGGTGCGAAAATGGCAGCCATACATCACTCGGTTCTCCGTGTGCTCGGCACCCCTGCCCCGTTATTCCCGTGACTAATTAAGCGCCAGCCAGTCCAACAACCATCTCATTCCTTGTATGCGAGAGATCGACGAACATCCATAACCATTCATGTAATAGAGAGAGTAGGTAGGGGCGGAAACGACGCGGAGCAGACGAGAACGACAAGATAGATAAAGATTACACCAAGATCCAATGATGAAAAAAAAGATTCTTTGGCTTAACTGCGGTTCAACTGAACTCACACCAAAGAATAGGTTCGAGACAAGAAGGCGCATCCGCCGTGAAGTTCCACTATGGGCCCGGGCCATTCACTCTGATCACTATCCCCGTACATGCACTGACGATCCCGGCCGTCACGTGCCACCTTCCACCACTGCGATCGTCACCCCACCGACTTAGTCTCTGCACGGCTTGCCCGGATCCCACAGTCCGCCGTGGCGATCAGGCGCACAATCGGCCAGACTACAGTCAGCCCGTCGAGACTTTTCGACTCGCACTCCACACGTACGATCTAGCCACCGCTTCCCAGAAGCTGGCAGACGAGTTGAGAGAGAGATTTGCGGGCGCGCTTGCGGAATTTATAGTTGCGAGAAGGGAGGTAGATACGAGGGAGTATGAAGATTGAGGCAGGGAAGGGTGAGGGAGGACTTGGGGATAATCGCCCGGCGAAAGCCATGTTCATCCTTCTGAGTCCGATCGTAGCCAATCAGAGTCGTCGCATAATAGGAGTTTCCGCTTACATGGCGCTTCTCCTTGGCTGGACGGAGTGAAGAGAGGATCAACCGGGTTCTTGGGCGTAGGACTTAGAGTGGGAGGAAGAAGGGTGCGCAGGATAGCGCGAAACGGGTCCAAGATTCAGATGATCAAGAAAGAGAAAAGGCGCGTGAGGCGAGAGAGAGAGGGAAAAACGGTTACAGAGTGAGAGAGAGCGCGGGCGCGAAGGGAGCGTCGAAGATGGAGAGGGGAGCAGAGGGGGAAGCTCGCATGCATGGCGCCGATTACGAATGCAAAAAGAGGCACCGAAACAGTTACAGCTTTCTAAGTCCTATGATGATCCAAAAATTGAAATCACCATATCTGCGCGTAGAGTAGGCAAGGGGAAAAGAAAATCCTACGTCTATTCGTATTCCCACCAAATTCCCAGAGTTTTCCACGACGTGGTCGAGAACATTCACGCACAAAAAGGACACGTCGGGTTCCGTTCATTCCGGAATTTCTAACCGTCGAGCCAAATTCCTAGCGCGCTCGCTAAGGCGCGCATAATTCCCATGCATTTCCCAAATTATAAAAACGGAATTTCAAGAATCAATGAGACTAAAGACACGGGTCTCAGCAAGGCACCTTTAATCAAAAACATAGAGAGGGGCCTTGTTGGCCTGAGCAAGATTCGAAAAGAAAAAGATAGAGAAGGGGTCCGGAAGATGGCGCAGGCTCAGAAGCTGGTACGTCAAAGTGCAGTGGTGACTGGGTTGGGTGCGACGGGTGTGGCGGGGCTTGTGGCAATTGGCTCGGTAGGATAACGAAGTTAGGTTGGAGATAGGGGACCTGGAAATCATTGAAGGGTTTCCTCTGCCAAGTGGGTTCTGTGCTCCTTCATGGTTTCCATATGATGTTCGGATCACTGTCCACGACTGAAAATATTCCTTTCGGGTCCTGCCATATTTGCATGTAGGAGTCGTGAATAGCTTGTCTGGCAAGGGGATCTTTCTCCTCGAAGTACTGTTGCTTCATGGACTTCCAGGCTTGCAAGGTTGTGGCCTTGATGTCTTCCACGATGGCTTGTTGTGCCATAGGCCGAATTAATGGTCCTTCCTTTCGAATGAGCATCTGGCTCTCCAGGCAAGCATGAGGAGGTGCAGCCTCATGTGGGAGAACAGATTGGTTGCAAAGGGGGGCCAGTGGGTCAGCAGCTGGCGCTTATCTCCCAGTAGCAGAAGCCCAAGATCCCAAGGGATATGGTAGTCGGTGAGGGAGTGGAAGGCCGCGTCCCACCACTGCCATAGCTGGGTGACCATAGGACACGCCAGCAGGCAGTGTTCGAGGGTTGCTCGGGCCGGCTGCTGGGAGTTGCCACAGTAGGCACAGATAGGTGACAGCTTCCCTTTATGATTGTGAGGATTTAGTCCCTTGGCAGTGTCTGAAGGACCGCACCCACCCTCAGTGCAGGCGGGCCTGCAAATATGTGCCAATGACTGTTTATAGGCCTATGAGACCAGGCTGAGGGGCCCAAGCACAGCCTGTCGGAACCCCTATGTGGGCATGGATCTTCGAAGAGGCTGTTACGAGTTAGCTACTCGGCATGCCCCTGCGGGGCCCTTTCAGCAAGCATCAGCCCGCCCTAAGTGAAGACAAGCCCCTGAATTTCAATATGGACTGAGTTCGTCAATTTTGGCAAAGTTTGGTGGGCGCCAGACAGTTGCCACACGCCAGTTGGTTACATCCTCCGTACTCGTGAAAATCAGAAATAATTTGTGAGCCTTCTAGGCTCTTCCAGCAGCACCGGGGAGAACCTCACGTTTACTCCTGGGTGGTTGGGCAGGGCTAACCAGTTCAGTCCCAGGCCACTGTCTGAATGGGCCTGGGCGCAGACACTTTGGCCCAAACGGAAGCTACTGGAAACAGACGAGGCCCAGCCAGATGGCAAACTGGGCGAGCACTTTCCATAAAGGAAAGAGCTCGCCAGTGGTGGGGATATTCGGGCACTAGGCAGTGCATGCGGCAGCGCTGCTTGAGCGTGCGCTCGCAGGCTGTGCGCGCGGGCGCTGGAAGAAGGCACGGCTGATGAGGGCAGCGCCATAGCCAGCCCTACATAGCCAGGGCTTGGCTTGGATAGCCAGTGGAGCTGGTGGTGGTCTTCGTATATGAGGAGGAAGACATGGGTAGACAAGACGAGGGAGAGAGAGAGAGAGAACTGAGGATGATGATGTGAGGGCTCGTACCTGGTCTTGGCAATGGTCTACAGGGTCAACATCTTCATGTACTTCGGTGGTTGCTGCTGACGTCAACAGGATGCATTGTCAATTTGTAGGCTGCTAGTACCTGTGTGATAGTAGTCTGGGCGCTGAGCGCCAAGTAGGAGGAAGGGCTCTGGATACATATGTTGGTGGTGGCGAGAGTATGCTCTCATTGACATCCGGATTCGGTGCTTTGGTTACTCCGTTGGTGTAATATCAGCGCATTTCTGCTTTCTGGACAGCGTTGGACTTTCTGGCTTTCAATCTGATTTTCCATTCTGGATTTCTGTCATTTCACTATGGCTCATTTTCCTTGCATGAATCTTTTTTTTTTTATAACTAACTTGTATTTATTATTTATCATCCCTTACAAGAATAGGCCAGTGCACCTACCATAGAGGGTGATAAGAGCACTCTTCCAGTGTAGGGCCACCTTTTTGAAAGCTCCAATCTATTGGTGGGGAGCAGCACCTGCTGGAAAGCGGATCCAGTGTTCCCCTATAAAATAACCAGTCTGAGATGGATAACCATTTGACCGTCCTTCCGGACATCCGTTAAAATTGGAACGATACAGAGAAGATTAGCATATCCCCTGCAAACGTATAAATCGAGAAATGGTCCAAATTATTTAAAAAAATGAAATAAAAGAATCACCACCAGTTGACCACACTTGAGCCATCCAACACAGCATTGCTTGCCCTTTTTCTTTTTTTTAACAAAAATCCTTATATTCGTATAGCTGGGAGATGGGCCCAGCGTCCCTTACATCATTTGCTGCGCCCAAGCGCGCAATGCAAGGCAGTCTCGGCCAAACTTATCCCGACTGCAGTCCAACAAAATCCAGCCCCATTAAGCAAACCATAATCTACTGAGCAAGAAAACCACCTCAACCTGCCAAGCATTGATTGCCCTCCTCCGTTTGGAGGGGGATTGACTGCATTCTTTTCCAACAGGAGTTGGAGTCAGTGTATATTTTTTTCTTTTTCTTATATTAAAAAACTAAGCTATATTGGAGTATTGACACGAGGATGGGATGGGAGGTGACCTCATCTTCTCAGGACAACCATGGCTGACAACACACCGGTGGGCCTAGTAACAGGCCTCCACAACACCCTCGACTTAACGAACGAACAAACGAACAAACGAACAAACGAACGAACCAACCAACCAACCAACCAACCAACCAACCAACCAGCCAACCAGCCAGCCAACCAGCCAACCAGCCAGCCAGCCAGCCA